TACATAACATACATACATAACATACCATACACACATGTTAATTTATATATATACATAATATATATATATTATATATATTATATATATTATTCATAATTGTTCAACAATAATCTAGCCGGAATGAATGGGTTAGAACATTGAGGCGTTCCCATGCTACAACAGGATCCGAATCTTGCACCGAAACACCTATCTCGCGAGTTCTCGCGGCAGGAGATTGCTATATCTCGGCCCACCGCCACAGCAGCGCGCGAGGAGTTTTAACTCAGTTAACACGCGTTCAATCTTAAACTGTCTGCGGAAGCTGCATGTCGAGCGAGCAGTTGCAGATGACCACATTACGATAGTGAAATTACGCAATATGTACTGGTAATGTCCGTGTGGAAAACGCAGGAGATGAGCAGCAGGGGAAGAAGCATGAGCGTGGGAGGGCAGAAACAGGATGAGAGATAATGAAACAGTGAGGGATGACAGCTGATGGAAAAGTTGGTGAAGAAAGGGGGCAGGGAGATGAGAGAAGGTCTGCAGTGAAAAGGGACGGAGGTTTATTTTAGGGGGAAAAACGGCGGGGCGGGTTAAGGGGGGGGAAAGGGACGGGAGAGGATAAGGGCGCACAGTTAGAAAGCGAGAGAAGGGAAGGAGAGAGGAGAGAGAGGAGACGAGAGCGGGCGAGAGAAGGAGAAGAGAGACGAAAGGAGAGAGAGAGGGAGAGAGTGATGAGAGAGGAGAGACGAGATGAGGGAGAGAGAGAGAGAGGAGAGAGAGAGAGAGAGAGAGGAGGAGTAGAGATGAGAGGCAGAGAGCTAGAGAAAAAACAATAGAGAGAGAGAATTGATGCGATCGGAGAGAGAGACAGCCGAGAGAAGAGGCAGAGAGAGCAAATAAGAAGAACTGGACTGGCTCACGCGATGGAGAGAGGAAAGACCGAAGAGGGATAGAACAGAGAGAGAGAGAGAGGAGAGCAGAGAGAGGACAAGAAAGGAGAAGAGAGAGAGCAGAGAGACGGAGGCAGAGAGAGACGGAGAGAGAGGCAGAGAGGAAGAGAGAGAGAGAGAAAAGACAGAGAGAGAGAGAGAGAGGGAACAACTCTAATGAGAGAGAGAGAGAGAGAGAGAGAGAGAGAGAGAGAGGTATTGCGTTAGTAAATTGATGTTCATTTCACCTCAGTCTGCCTTTAATCACCAAGTCGGTTTTACATCACGGGCACTATCAATCTCCGAGTTTGAATCTATAGGCGGCCATGTTGAATATGTGCCGCACGAGAATTTTCTTCAGATATACAACTTTTCAACATATACGAGCTTTATTCACATGCCGGTATCATTAAAATGCCATGTGCGCGTTTCATGTCAATTTCGACAAACAGCCTAATATCTCTAGCCCATTATTTATTAGTTCAAAAATCCGTCGTTCCACGTTAAACAAAAATCTCAAATTTCTAGTCGCTTGCGGGTATATTGCAGTCTGGTTCTTCTCAAGTCGGTTGAGCAGCGTCTATGCCACATATTGGTCTAGGCAGGAATCCATCAGTGCGGGCCGTAATAGGCCAGTAAACAGTAATCAGTTGTATCCATTTGCACAGAACACGCACGGGCAGGGCATATAGCGGGCAGAACAGTCTGGAGAGAAAGCTTCCGTGCAGGGCGGCGGGCCTGGAGGTGTATAGATAGATTTGCGTGCAACTCCAGACGCCTGTATAGGAGAACAAAGAGGGAAGCGGGAGAGGAGGGGTGAAATAAGAGAGAGATATATATATAGACAGAGAGAGAGAGACGAGGATGAGAGGAGAATAGCAAGAGAAATAGAACGTACCTGAAGGAAAGAGGGGGAAAGGGGGAGAGGGAGAAAAAGAAAAGAGAGAGAGAGACGGGAGATGAGAGGTGAGGAGTAAGAAAAAGAGAGAGTGGGTGAAGGAGAGAGGGGGAAAGGATAAGAGGGAGGGAAAGAAAAAAGAGAGATGAGATGAGAGGAGTAAGAGAAAGAGAAAGTCGAGGAAGAAGAGAGGGGAAAAGGGGGAAGAGAGAGGAGAAACAGATAAATAAAGAGAATTGAAGGAGAGTATTTGAGCGTAAAATAAGTCCGTGTTTTTCGTGCGCGCGTGCGTGTGTGCGCGTGCGCTCGTGCGTGTGTCTATGTGCGCGCGTGCGTGTGTCTGCGTGTACTCGTGCGTGCGCCCGTGCGTGTGTGTGCGTGCGGTCGTGCGTGTGTGCGTGCGGTCGTGCGTGTGTGTGCGTGCGCTCGTGCGTGTGTGTGGGCGCGTGCGCTCGTGCGTGTGTGTATGTGCGCGCGTGCGTGTGTCAGCGTGCGCGCGTGCGTGTGTCTGCGTGTACTCGTGCGTGCGCCCGTGCGTGTGTGCGTGCGGTCGTGCGTGTGTGCGTGCGCTCGTGCGTGCGTGCGTTCGTGCGTGTGTGTGCGCGTGCGTTCGTGCGTGTGTGTGCGCGTGCGCTCGTGCGTGTGTATGCGTGCGCTCGTGCGCGTGTGCGTGCGTGTGTGTGCGTGCGCTCGTGCGTGTGTATGCCTGCGCTCTTGCGTGTGTATGCGTGCGCTCGTGCGTGTGTGCGTGCGCTCGTGCGCGTGTGCGACAGAAG